CTCAAAGTGGGTTCCTCATCATCGAATTTTAATTAACCTCTGTTCAACTAATGTAAACAATCATTTACATGATTTGTAATGAAAAAATAACAAGGATTGTCTGCACAAATGTCAGTAATAGAGTGGTTTAATGGGAAGTAAACAGTCCTTCAATCATTGTTTTAATGGTACCGTAATTAACCATAGGTATTAGCTAGTAAATTTCAGTTATATTCATCCTGTTGTTAGAATTACTGTGTTTTTATTGTTGTTCACATTTAAAGATAAAATTCCCAAGATTGTTGCATTAAAGTATATTTTGCACTTGATTGTCAGAAATAATAAAAATATATTTTGTAAACTAAGGTGCTGAATTACTTTTTCTGAAGTTGAAAGTTGTTTCTTTGTGTTGAATATTTCCAAGATTGTTGCCCAGAGAATGGATTAAAGAGGCTTTGTTAATGTTTTTTTGGAATGGGTACAGGATAGTCGAACAATGACTATGTTGTCTTTTATCCTTTCATTATGTTATGATGTGATAATACATTTATAATTTTCCAAAATAGTTTGGGGAATTTGAATGATCTGTTTTCCAGAAGCTTGAGCTTAGATCATTGTTTTTTTTTAATAGTTAAAAATTTGAGAAATATTTTGAATCATGATTATTTTCGTAGAAAGAAGTATTTTTACTTTTCCATGTGTTAATAATGTGTTAATAATGTTTGAAATAGGTGATCAATAATGTGTTATATGTTAAGATTTTGTTCAGAGAGTTCATTGTTATAAAATGAAAAAAATGGTATTGTTTTATTTTCTATAAAGGTAAATGATTAATATTTATGATTAAAATCATGCTAAATTGGAGATAATTTATCTATTACTGTTTGTTCATTTAATTCAACATGATCATTAAAAGGGATTTTTTTTTCATATTCCATTGAACTTGTTCATTACTATTTGGTTATTTAGTTTAACAATATCTTTAATAGAGATGTGGAAAACACATCTGCAGTCGAACATGATTTTGGCCAACAATATTAGACCTATTTGTTTACAGTTTCATCTAAATATAATAAATGTGCAAAATTTTTTTTTTAAAACAAAACTGTAGTAAGATTTGATCAATATTTTGTAACCACTATGTCTTATATAGGAGGATGGTCAGACTCCTCAAGGAAAAAGAAGGTTGTCGGAGGCTACGCCTGGGCCTGGTGGCTAGTTAGTGATGTACAAAGGTACAGAAAAAAAGCAATTTGCTAAGTAAAATGTGAAGTTTTATAGGTTTTATCAATATTTTTGGACTGTGTGTAGTAAAGACAGAGCCTGGAAATACTAATTCACTGTACATGCACTGATGATTTCCACATTAATAGGTTTGACAGTATAAAACCTAAATGATTAGTAACTGTTGTCATAGCTTGTTATACCTTCACCTATGCTTAATTATTAGTTATTAATTTTTTTACAACACTGGATACAGGAGGAGAAAGTTGTGATAATTAAATTAAACACAAGAATAACAAGGAATCAAACTACAAATATACATAGATGTGTTCTTCTTTGTCAAATATATATAGGATATGTAAAGTACATAAAGTCAGAATAGCATTCAGAAGCCACAACAGAATATAATTGTAGTTAGTACCCACCAAACTACTTAACGACCCAGTAAACAACGAAATGCTATTTCCAGAATCTTCTGTGAATGTGGATGGTAATATATTGGAAAGAAAACAAGACTTAAAGTTAGAATTCAAGAAGATAATACCCATACAACATTCTTTAGTACTGCTGCAGTTCGTGTCAGAGAAGACCATACAGCAAAATGGAATAATACTAAAATGACAGGATCGAACCTCATATGAGAAAATGAATGATAAAAGAAGCATTTTACATCAATTTAACTGATAACGTGCTCATTTAACCTAGCACAGAAGTCAGCAAAATGTGGATTCCTTTCTTGAAACCATCCAGATAAGAGAAATACAAATTCTGATAGTGAGAGATACCATATAACTATGAATGAAGAGTTATTAACTTCTAAATGCTTGACTAAAATAGACCGAATGGCATCTCTTACACAGACCATCAATTTTATTTGTTTGAATATTGCCATCGCAATCCAAAACTGTAGCCAATCATTTTTGCACAAGTTCCTTTCTTTGTTGCCCGTGTATGTCAGTTGGCTGGTCAGTCTGCGGAGATTCCATATAGCGTACTGGAATTTAGATCTGCCTAACCTATTCATGGCACACATTTGTTATTCGTGGTCGCTATTCCATCAATAGCAAGTGTTTTCATAACATAGGATAGTTAATAAATATATTTTAAACATAATAACTAAAACATAAATGGATTACGGAACAAACCAATGTTTCACGTTTAATTGTAATAAATCTCAGTTTTTACTTTACTTTGTAGCAATGACAGATACAGTAAAAACCCGATTACCCTGTCCAAAATGCTTCCTGTAATGTTTGGTAGCCAGCAGAATTTTAGGATGTCCCGGAACATTGGATATGATAATTCCCGAGCCCTATTTTTCCTTTTCCTAAAAACATATAGATATTAGGAAAGAAGCATGTAGCTAAATAAGATGGTAAATACCACAACACTATAGAATATAAAAATAATTAAGATATGTATTATAACTTAAGCACAAGATGACATAGTTGAAGAATAAGGAGCGAAGTCAAGAACTTAAGTATCATACCATGCTAAATAGAACAAATTATCTTGCTTAATTGAGTTGTTAAGTTTTTCTATTTGCCTTCCAGTCTGTATAGTTCTGCACAAATGATTGAATAATAGGCTTAGCACTTGTACTGAGCCTCTTTTGGTTGTGCCCTGGACAACTGCCCCTCCTACCCTACCCTAGCTACGGCTCTGTTGTAATCTATATTACGTAAGCATGATTTTCTCTGTTTGTAAAGAATTCGATATATTTTATTTTGAGAGTTAAATGTTATTATTGATAGTACCCTTATAGAGTTAAATGTTATCATTGATAGTACCCTTATAGAGTTAAATGTTATCATTGATAGTACCCTTATAGAGTTAAATGTTATCATTGATAGTACCCTTATAGAGTTAAATGTTATCATTGATAGTACCCTTATAGAGTTAAATGTTATCATTGATAGTACCCTTATAGAGTTAAATGTTATCATTGATAGTACCCTTGAATTGTAAAATCTACAAAACTTATTAATCGCTTCAGTTGTAAAATATACATGTTTAAAATAGCTTACAAATAATAGATAAGTAATCAAATGTAATTTAGACATTGAGATTTTTCTCTTATAATAAGTATGCATCTCAGTAAAGTAATCAGTAAGTAACCTGACTGTTCAAGGTCTTTTTGGATATTAGGTTTCACACTCTTGAAGGAAAAATCTGTATATTTGTAAATCATTAATTGAGAAGAAAGAAAGTACAAAGAAATAGTCATGACTGCTGGATAATAAAAAGAAAGAAATGTGCAGTCAAGGTTTAAAACAAATATTCTTCATCAGAATTTAATGTAGGTCCTTTAATAGAAACCTTGACCGTATTTTTCATATCATTTCACTGATTTAAATACTGCTTTATATTTTCAGATTTCATCACATTGTGGCTGCATTTGTTTTTTAAATGTTTTTATTACTTTAATGGTTTTAAAAAAGATTTGATAGATAATTGGTTAATATTGTAGCTAAATCTACTTAGAATAGTACTTAGATTAGAATAATAATTATTTTTTAAAACTTTAATGATAAAGTATCTAAAAACTTTTGAATTAAAAAGATAACAGCCTTGTTAATATTTATATATCTGTACAAAACATTCTGTAGAAATTCTGTACATTATATATATGTACTTTGAAAAGTTATGTCAAAGTTTTATTTCTTTATTATTCAACTGATACGTTTGGCATATCTTTGTATGACTTGCTGTTATCCATTATCCAGGTTAAGTTTGGAAGTCATGACTGTTCATCCTTGCTGTCAAGGGGTA